CATGACACAAGACATCAACACAAAGCAACTATTATTATCACCAGAAGTCATCATTTATGCTTTTATAAGAATTAAATAAAAATGTAAAGGTCATGTCACGTGGGGGTCTTTGTCATTGCAGAGTATTACTCTAAACTGTGCCAGGTCAGCCTCATTAGTAGTGGCCATCAGCAGAGGCTGTGCTGTGGAATGCTGTTAGTATTTAGGATGGAAGGCAGGAAGGCCACGCAAGGTTCTTCTCTTTGGCCCCTGTATATCTTAGGCCCTTCCTAGGCGCTCTTCAACGCCTCCTACTGTGCATTTATCTATCTTAATTATAGCTCCTTGGACGTTAGGTACTCTCCAGGTGAGAAGGGTTATCTGAGATTTCGCTCAGTGTAAGGGTGGTTCACAGATGAGTGGACACAAACTGACACAGTGAAGGAATAAAGGAAACATTCAAAAACCTCATTTAATAGAATGTTCTTCGTGATACCTACTGGGATATAAACAGCTCGGTGTCAAGAAGTTCACTCTAATGATTACAGACTTGCAGGACTGAGTAAGGCAGTTTTCTGACCCCTCCCCACACCCTAATGGATTTCCCTAAAAATCTGTGGGGCAAAGGAAAAAGAGGCATATTTTCCCGTTCCAAATGGGGGCAATGTGCCTCCTGGAAGCATATAACAACAGTGGCTCCTATAACAGTGGCCTCTCTGTCAGCCATTCAGGTGTGATGGTAGCAGCTACATGCTTCAGAACCTGTCAGTCAGTTCTTGAATCTGATGTCTTGAGAGTGTTTTGTTCACTTCCGCTCTTCTGCGGGTTAGTGGTGAACAGAGGCTGTGCTGGTCAAGGCTCTATCCTTTGATAACAGCGATAGGTCTCAGTTTAATGGCCTTCTTGCTGATTCCAGCATCATGGCAGGTATTCACCACGTCTGTCACATTCTTATAGGACTCGGGAGCCTACAGAGGAGAAATTAAACACTGTGAAATCTACCAACAAAAGGAATCTTTCAAAACACTACTCTTCACTTGAAATGATAAATACTGAGGGCTTTTTTTTTCCTATTAAATTAGCAAAGGTTAAAAATACAAGAAAATTCAATACCGGTAAGGGGCATGAGATAAATATCCTAAATTCATTTTACGTTTTTCAGTATTTTGAAAAACCTCAAAGAATATATATAGTTAAGAGAAAGAAAGAAAGAGGAAACACCCCAAACAAAGCAGTGCAGTAAATGCACTTCAAACAAAGTGCGCACACCATCATGCCTGGAAGAAACGAACCAAATCATAAGCTAGTGGTGAGAGCAACATTATTATCTATTTTGGCAGTTATTAAGATTTCTGAATGAACATGCTTTAATAACTTTCTCTTAACAACAGATTTATGTATATATAAAGAACTCAGACCATGTGTGGCTACGTATGTACATAAACTCATGAGTTTCTAGCAAGACCCTCACCCTTCCTTACCCACATCCACTGTCTGGCCACCATTTCTAATCTCACACCTTGCCTCTGCCTCTTTTCTTCCTCCTCACTGTGGCCTCTGGGGACCCTACCAGGGGATCAGGGTGGCATCCCCACCTCTCTGCACACTTTCACTTTGCTCTCACTGAAACATGCCTCTTCCCAAATGAGCACACATCCAGCTTTCTGAAGCAGCAGATGTTTTCTCTCTCAAACTTGGCCATGCAACTGTGCCTAGGAATGAACAGGAGCCCCCGACCCCATCTTCGTGACCATTTCCACTCCTTTCCCCCGGGTCCTATCAGATTTGCAGGTATGTAAGTGTACCCATGCGTGCAACGCCTACTGAGACAAGAAGAGGGCGTTAGATTCCCTGGACCTGGAGTTTTGGAAGGCTGTTAAGCTGCCATGTGGGTGCTAGGAACCAAACCCAGGTCCTCTGAAAGAGCAGCCAGTGCTCTTATCTACCGAGCCATCTCTCCAGCCCCTAGTTTTGAGATTTCTTTCTGATCATTAAAAGATTTAGGAAAAAGCTTCAAGGATGAAGACACTGATTACAAATTAATTAATTATCTCCAAAAAGTGGGAACTCTGTGAAAATCCACTTGTGGTAGAAGCTAAGATATCTAGCTGGCAGCAGTGACTAAGAAGGGACACCAGCAACTTTATGATGCACTGCATTTTAAACAGAATGACAAGTAAGGTTTGACAACTGTAGTTTCAAAACAGCATTTAGAGAAAGTGCCACGGTAAGTCTTCCACAAAGTGAGGTGAGGGGCTGGGATGCTTGTTTCTGGGTAACTAGTTTTCTCTTAAATTATTAAGGAAGAAATTATGCAACTTCTAATTTAAATATATACACACAAATCATTTAAACAAAACCTTCTCTGTGAATTAAACAAAACTGTTTCCCTCTCCTTCCCCAAATTTGTTTCTATACTGAAATGTAAGCAAACAATGCAATGCAAAGTTACTAAAATGTATCTTCTCAAACTGCTTTTATTTTATTGGTCTTTTTTGAGACAGGGTCTCCCTGTAGCCCCAGGTGGCCTGGAACTCACTATGTAGACCAGGTTGGCCTTAAACTCACAAAGATCCACCTGCCTCTGCCTCCAGAGTGCTGGGATCAAAGGCATGTGCCACCACGCCCGGCATATGTGTATTATTTAATGTGTGGCTAGATGATTGACAAATTGTCTGTTACAACAGAATAAGTTATGATCCTGTCAATGGTAAAGAGTAGGTTGTTTCACTTTAATTAAAAAATGTAAAATACTAGCTTAATGTGGTGGCTCACATCTTTGGGAGGCAGAGACAGGTGGATCTCTGTGAGAAAGTGGCCAGCCTGGTTTACACAGGAGGAGTTCCAGGCCCTGGATGGGGCTACACCAGGAAGACCTGTCTCAAAAAACAAACAACAACAATAAAAGACCCAAACAAACAAAAAACAATAAATATATCAAAGAAGATCAAAAGAAGTTAAAAGGGAAATTTTTATATTAACAAATTTTTAAAGTAACTACTTCTTTCATTTTTAAAAACGCTTATTATATTTAAGTGCTTATTATGATTCAGTGACTATGATTGTGCACTGACTTTCTCAATGTTAATAATAAATTGTTTTATTACAAAAGGG